AGAGAAAGGTCTTCCTTTTGCCGTTGGTTCACCCTCCAATGGCCGCCACGGCCGGTACACCGTGCTGATCTGAAGCCAGGAGCCAGGTACTTCTCCTGGTCTCCATGCAGGTGCAGGGCCCAAGCACTTGGGCCATCCTCCACTGCACTCCCTGGCCACAGCAGAGAGCTGGCCTGGAAGAGGGACAACCGGGACAGAATCCGGCGCCCTGACCGGGACTAGAACCCGGTGTGCCGGCGCCGCTAGGCAGAGGATTAGCCTAGTGAGCCGCGGCGCCGGCCAGGGCCATTGAATTTAAAGGGAGGTTCCTGGACAAAGCATTTCCCCTCCTGTTTGCCTCCCTTCTCATTCTTTGGATAATGTGGACATCAAGTTAAACTGCAGTTTTGACAGGTGCCCAGGGATAGCTGAGAAGGAAGGGGGCGGCCAATGACGAAACAGTCACCTCCACAGGTGCACACAGCCATCTGCAGAGTAAACATCAGAAGACCCCCCCGGGGACGTCAAGGGGCCCCGGATTTGTGCATTTCAGGCACACTGGGGTGACTGGTCACGCTAGGGGCCCGTGTCCTCACCGCTGGCTCTCTTCTCTCCCCAGGCACTCCACTTCCACGGCCCGGCTCTGGAGCCACTTTGGTACTGGCAGGTGGATCTTCTCTTTTCATCATGCAGAGTAAGGAGCAGAACAAACTGGGAAACAGGCCACTCTACGGAATTATCCTTATCGAAACTAAAGCTCGTCCTCCAACAGGCAGAGTGGTCCGTGAACACTGGCTTGGTGGAAGACGCCAGGTTCCAAGCCAGGACTTTTTGATGAAATGTTGCAATCCGCCAGAACTGATTTCAGAGACATGGGAAGGGAGACTTCACACATATTTTGATTTGCTTCATTTGGGATTTTCTAAACATTCACCACTTAAGATCTTTCAGGTTAACGATCCACAATGCTGTATATTTCTGACCACTTATTTCTGCTGTATACTTGCTGTGTACAAGCGTTCAACAGAACCAGTCTCATGTGGCCTTGAGAAACGGCTGTGACTGCCATGAATGTTTTGTCTGCTGATGCCAGTGTCCAAGAGGGATGGTGAGGAGGTCCCAGTAGCAAAGTGGATGCAAGCAAAGGGCATCCCAGCTCCGAGGGTGGAGGGGAAGGACCCACAGCCCTCCCTTTTGAAGGGACAGCCTCCAGCAGTTTCTGGTGAATTCATTGTGAAAAGATGGAGGAAAACGGCCCCAAATTAAATCTAAATATTCCAGCCAACCCGGGCTCTCAGGCTAACACCATCTCCAAGCTGCAGATCAGAAGCTGATGTGCTTACGGGGTCCCCCTTAGCAACAGCGTTGCCATGGCAACACCCATGACTCGCAGAGAGGAAGTGAACAAGAGCAGGCAGGAGGCGTCTGCAGGAATTTCTCATTGAAACAGCTGCAGCAGCTCTCTGTGTCTAACAGATGAATGCGCTGTGCCTTTTTGTATTTTTAAATTATCTTTTCCAAAGTATGCCTGTGACAGTCTCTCTTCCCAAGAGTTGAGTTCAGATGCTTACTATTTTCAATCTAAATCATATTGTAGTTTTTGAAAAATGTGTTTGGGAGGCACTTGGTAACCAATTATTTTTTTTTCTGGAATATGGGGAGGCATGTGCATTTAAATGTTTATTCAGGCATTAAAATCCTGTGGAGGGGACTGGTGATAGATGTGTGAGACAGAAAGACTGTCCGTGATAACCGTTTTTATAGCATGTCCGTCCAGGGTCTGGTAGGATTGGGCGTTAGTCGGATGACTGTGTACCATGCATGCTTTTGTTCAAATACCAGATATAATGACATCCCTTTTCTGGCTGAGCCCAATCACCCCAACATAGGCGGATAGATCAGTGCTACAAACAACTAGGACCACCAGCCTTTGTTTTAAGCAAACTTTTGCAAGTACCATTTTGCAAGCTCTTCGGCTTTGTACTTTAAACACTCCTAGATCTTGTGACCACAGTCATTATACTGAAGATCATGCAAAGCCTAAAATCAAGTCCTCAAGGCAAGATGCCAAAACTCAATGACAGCTCTTCCTCAGAGGTGAAATTTCTGGGGATTTCTCATTCTTTTCTTTATACTTTTGTATAACTACCAACAGGTCTACCTGGAAGACATCTACATTTTTCACCAAAATAAAAGGCTAGTTTCTAAAATTAAAATCAGGTCCTCACAACAAAGAACCCGGAATAATTCATTAATTGCCATTCTTTGATTCTTCCAGTTCTGATTTAGACAAGCACTAAATGTTTTCTTAATATAAGCAAAGTCCCTTGGGGCTGACATTGTGGTGTAGCATGTAAAGTTGCTGTCAGTGGGGGCCGGGTCCCAGCTGCTCCACTTCCAATCCAGCTCCCTGCTAATGCTCCTGGGAAAGCAAAGGAAGATGGTCCAAGGATCTGGGGCCCTGCACCCACATGGGAGACCTGAATGAAGCTCCAGGCTCCTGGCTCCTGGCTTCCTACCAGCCCAGCTCCAGCCATTGCAGCCACTTGGGGAGTGATAGAAGACCTCGCTCGCTCTCTCTCTCCCTCCCTCCCTCTCTCTCCTTGAAACTCTGCCTTTCAAATAAACAAATCTATTTTTTAAAAAAGTTGCTGCCTATTATGGCAGCATCCCATATGGGTTCTGGGTGCATCTTGACTGATCTACTTCCAATCCAGCTTCCTGCTAATGGCCTGGGAGAACCAACGGAAGATGACCCAAGTGCTTGGGCCCCTGCCATCCATGTGGGAGACCCAAAGTCTCAGCCTGGCCCAACCTTGACCTTGTAGTCCTCTGCTTGGAAGTCCCAGGGGACCCATCCCAAACCTTGGTCTTCCATGTGGATCCTTCTGCCTTTTAAACTTATTTACTTGACAGAGTTAGAGAGTGAGAGATAGAGATGGAGAGAGAGAGTTATTATTCCATCTGCTGGTTCACTCCCCTAATGGCCTCAATGACTGGGGCTGTGCCAGGCTGAAGACAGGGGTCAGGAGCTTCTTCCAGGTCTCCCACGTGGGTGCAGGGGCCCAAGGACTTGAACCATCTTCTTTTTTTTTTTATTTTTTGACAGGCAGAGTGGACAGTGAGAGAGAGAGACAGAGAGAAAGGTCTTCCTTTGCCGTTGTTGAACCATCTTCTGATACTTTGCCAGGTGCATTAGTAGGGAGCTGGATCGGAAGTGGAGTAGCCAGGGCTTGAACTGGCACCCATATGGGATGCTGGTGGAAGCTCAGTCCACTACACCATGATGCCAGCCTCAGTGTCCTTCCTCTGGGCGCACAGAATACCTCTGCATGCAGGTGCTCAGGACTGAAATGACAGGGGCAGCCTGGGTGCCTTCCTCTTCCTCACTGCCTCCTCTCACCCGCCCCATCCTCAAGCCCCAAAGCACCGCCTGAACTGTCCATCTGTCTCTCCATCCTCACACTGAATACAGCCGTCCCCACTTCTCCCCTGGACACCCTAGGATCCTGCTGCTGCCCCTCGCTGTGTTCTGCCCCCAGCCCTCACGGGGATGCCCCGAAACACAACGACAGTGTGGCTTCCAGCTGTCTCTGCACGAAGTCTGGAATCAGAGCCCTGGCCTGGGTGTTCTGTCTGCTTCTCAGCCGCTGGCCCTGTCACCTCCCTGTCACCACCTGGCCTTCCAGATCCAGGGAGGTGCCAACCGCCTCCCCCCCTCCAC